CTGATTCATTAGTGACTGAAACGTCGAAAGCGCATTTGTCAGTCCAAAGGGCATCACCAGGTACTCGTAATGGCCTTCATGTGTTCTGAAAGCAGTTTTCTTCCTATCCTCTTCTTTCATTCGGATCTGGTGGTATCCTGACTTCAGATCTAGCTTGGAAAAAATATTAGCATTCCCCAGTTCATCTAGGAGTTCTTCAATAATTGGTATGGGGAATTTGTCAGGTATGGTTATTCTGTTTAAAGCTCTGTAATCCCCACAGAACCGCCACCCCCCCGTCCTTCTTCTTTGCCAATAATATGGGACTGCTGTAGGGACTATTGCTAGGCTGAATTATTCCAGAACTTAACATTTCTTGTATAATTTTTTCTATTTCAGCCTTTTGATACTGAGGATACCGATAAGGTCTAATATTTGGTATATCAGCCCCCTCCTGAATGTTAATGGAGTGATCACAGCTTCTAGAAGGTGGTAAACCCTCCAAGGGTTGTATTATTTCTGGAAATTCAGCTAGGATCTTCTCCCAATTTGTTTCCATACCATTTTCGTTTTCCAGTTGCGTCAGACTTCCTTCATAATATACAAGATACCCATCCCCATTATCTTGTATAATTTGTGCTAACGTCTTCAAGGAAACTTCCATTGAACTTAGTTTGGGATCCCCCCGAACTGAATGCTTGACTCCTGAACTAGTCTATTTCTGAAAGTTTATCTCAACATCACCCAGACTTGTTAGCCATTCCATACCTAATACAATATCAGTTCCTCCCAGATTTAAAATGTAGAAATCCTGATGGATATCTGTGTCAGGCAAACTCAGTACCACCTCTTCACACCTTCTATCATTAGCTATCTTTTCTCCATTGCCAATCTGCACCTTATAACCTGAGATGGTCCTGAAAGGCAGTTCTAGTTCATCTACCAATTTCTGGGAGATGAAATTATGTGTGGCTCCACTGTCAATCAACACTTCCACCTGTTTTTCCCCAAGATTCCATTTCAGGATCCCCTTAACCTTAAAGGCCCTCATGGTTGGTATCCCTTCCCTGCTCATAAGGGATAATTGCATAGATTTTGATTCCAGTACCACTTCTTCTTCTTCTGGGTTTTCAGGTTCTTCATCATCTGTTTCCTCTTCAGCATCTGAGTCTTCAACTAACATCAACTTGTAGTGCTTCAGTTTGCAGGTATGTTCTTTATTCCACTTTTCTCCACACTTAAAACACAACCCCTTCCTGCTTCTCTCTTGGAATTCTTCTTGGGATAATTGTGGAGCTACTTTCCTGATTCCTGAAGATTGCATATCTGTGACTTTCTTCCCCATTTTCTCAAACCAGGAATTGAAATTCCTATTCTCATTTGCACCTTTTCCTTGAGTGTTGAATCCAGAGTTTCCATATCTGGCCTTATAACCCTCTCCCCAGTTCTGAGATCTGCTAGGCATTTGTCCTTTATCTTTGCTCCCCATCTTTTCATCTTCCTGCTTCTTCAGATAAGTAGCCCCATTCTTCCTTTCAATCAGCACTGCTACATCCATAACCTCAGCTAAGGTTCTGGGGCTATATAATTTCAATTCAGCCTTTACTTCGTTCTTCAATCCAGTGATGAAAATTCCTCTCAATATTCCCCTGTCCACATTTCTTTGAGGTGCAATAGTCAACTCAAATTCATCCCTATATTCACTTACAGTACCAGTTTGTTTCAAACTTAACATGGGTTCATACGGATGTTGCATCAACTCCGATTGAAACCTGCGTATCACAGCCTCTTTCAAAGTTTCCCAGTTCTTCTCCTCCGTTTGGTGTTCCCACCATTGAAACCAGTTAAGAGCCCTCTCTTCCATAGCCAATACGGATACCTCAAGTTTATCCCCCTCAGCAATTTGATTCAGTCTAAAATATCTCTCCATACGTATTAGTCAGTTATAAGCCCCGTTTCCATTAAATAGTGGTAGATCTACCTTACGAGCAGTCTGAATATGAAAACGATGGTGATCCTCTCCATATCTATGCTCACGATGAATAGTATGTGCGGAATTACCTCTCGAATCAATAGGAGTGTGCGATGATCGCGAGTGTCTGCGATGGTTTGATCGCGACCTTCCTCTGTCGCGTAATTCCTCCCTCATGTCGTTCATGGCAACCATCATCGCCTCCATTCGCAGAAAGTTTTCCTCCATTGTGATCCGACTATGTTCCACAGCTTCTAATCGTTGTTCCATCTTTGCTCGTTTTCGAACCATCCACCGCTGGAAACGACGGTCTTCAGTCGCAGCAACGATCACTTCAGGTCACCAGAAACGACGGTATGCTCTGATACCAATGATAGAACACTGGTATTAAGCTAAGCAAACTATATCAAATCTGCAGAATGATGTAAGGACAGATCAAAGGGAATTTTATTGAAAGAGAGAACTCCAGATAGGTCGTACAAACTCAGGGACTATTCGAGAAGCCCAATCTCCTGACATCCAGCTATTCAGAGCAACAACCTCCCCTAAAAGGCTAACCGACCTCTATTTATAGTCAATAGTCCACGCAGGGACTTTATTAATAGCTAACATACTCGTTAACTAATTATTGACTACCCCCCTTTATTCCTCCTTTGATAGACTCTATTGAAATATTTAATAGGCTGATTACTTATAAGCCTATCATTAGAGCAGATGGAATTATACCTGACTGGGGAAGAGATGAAGATGAATTGGAGGGTTTAGAATCTGGAGAAGACTGATGATGAGAGTTGAAAAGTTTGTACAATTGCTCTAGCTGCCCCTTGGAGAAATAGGACTGCTCATTTTGTTGAGATGCACTGGCACTGGCTTCTTCAGAAGACACATGGAGACCTTTACTCTCTTTGATACCTTGTGAAGAATCATCCGGCTTTCCATGTAATATCCAACATTTTGCTTTCACATGACCAACATGGTGACAATACTCATAGAAAGGTCGATTACCCCGGTGTGGTGGCCGTGAGGAATTTTGCTTTGGTCTGTGAGTCACCAAGGCTGAGATTTCTGATGCGGAGTTTATTGGATTATGACCCAGCATTACTGCCCGCCTGCTTTCTTCACGGCGGACCTCTGCAAAGACATCTCTTGTGTTTGATAACGGATGGCGGCCCAGCAATCTGCCTCTAACTTCATCTAATTCCTTGTTTAAACCTGCAAGGAAATCAAAAACTCGCTCCTTCTCCACCATTTTTTGAAACATAGCATTGTCAGCCGAACAACTCCATTTATAATCACTATAGAGATCAGATTCCTGCCATGGGTTTTGAAGCTCTGTGTAAAATTGAGTGACAGATTTCTCACCTTGTTTGGTTGTTCTGAGGCGATTTTTTAACTCAAATAATCGACTGGCATTACCTACATCAGAATAGGTTTCCTTTACAGCCGTCCAAATGTCACGAGCAGTTGGAAGAAAGAGATAAGTACGGCCGACATCAGGTTCCATAGAGTTGATCAGCCATGACATCACCATTGAATTTTCCACCTCCCATTTATCATGGAGTTTATCGGAAGTTGATGGTTGGGAGACATCGCCGGAGAGATAACTGAATTTACCCTTCCCTTGAATGAAGAGTTTGACAGACTGAGACCATTGAAGAAAGTTTCTGCCATTGAGTTTATGGGAAGTTATCGACAAGCCTTGAATAGGCTCAGAATTGGAGAAGGAAGATGATCTGATCGAGTGAGAAGAATCACTCGTTGAAATCGAGTGTTCAGAGGTGGTCTGGGGATCGGCCATTTTTTTCTTTTTAGGTTAGCGGCTCTGATACCATAAAGATTAAAATGATTAGCCGATGTAAATTCTTCTTTCATTGAGTAGTATATTTATAGTACAATACAACAACCCGATCCTACAAAGAAGGGATAAGATTTACAATAATTAATTACAACTTAGCCTAATCTATAGTAACAACGTGTAACTAATTGACCTATTCTAAAGATATTCCACAACATATATACATACATATATATATGTGTGTGTGTGTGTGTACGCATAAACATGCACTTATATATACATAAGTGTGTGTATATACTTACATATATATAGAGGACAGATCATATCAGGCCGGCCTGACGGGAACCGCCGTCAGGCCGCGGCCATTTGGGGCCTTTTCCGGTTTAATTTTTTGATGAAATTTATTGAGTTTGTTCTTCATCAAGTCTAGTTTATTCATACCAAATTTCAGTTAAAAAACAATCGGGAAGACAATCAAATAAATTGTTTGCAAAAACTGTGCTTTATATATATATAAACAGCGCAGTTGATTTCAACAATTTATTTGACTGCCTTCCAGATTGAATTTTTAGCTGAAATTTGATATGGATAAACTAGATTTGATGTAGAACATGCTCAAAAAATTTCATCAAAAAAATCCACCGGAAAGGTCTCCAAAATCCCTCGGCCGGACGGTGAGTCATGTCAGGCCAGCCTCACAAGATCGCTACTATATATATGTGCATACACACACATACATAAATATGTATATACACATGCACATATATGTACAAACACACACATATATAATACATACACATAGATACATACGCAAAGACGTGTGTGTATGAAAACTCATATGTATCTCTATATATACTTCTATACGTACCTTTTCTATAACTAAATCATAAAAACTCATAAATCAAGATTGAGACATAAATGTAAGGTTAAATGATATATACCATTAATCATTAATCTAACAATTGAGAACTAAACTCCATTGAGGAATACTTTTTTGTAGTATACTAGTACCCGTTGAAAACCACATGCATACACACACATATGTAAGCATATGTCTGTGGGTACGCGCGCGCATGTGTATATATTTAATGCATGCGTGTACATTTTTATCTAACCCAACTTTCTACGATCCATACCAACAACTGAGAGTTCAGATGAAAACGTATCTACAGGTGGTTACTTTTTTATTGGTCGTTTAATTTTCTCAATGGGGACTGGGGGTAACTTATTGCAAATGAGAATTAAGATGAATACCTGGTTGTATAGAGAACTTGCAAGAGTAGCAGCGCCTTCAACATATTCTGTAACAGGAATTGCAAAGTTCCATTGGGAGTTCAAAGTTCTAGCCACTTTTCCCAGTGTCTCAAGTAATCGACCCACACTTTTCAGCCACCAAGAGTCGAGCAATGACCCCACTTTTGCAACCTTGACACGGAAGCCTTGGGCATGTACTGCCAAATAGTTCACTACATTGATCAGATCTAAGTTTGGCATTTGCCCATTTGATGCTTCAGCATATACGTAAAGAGAATCTCTTTCTACTCTTTCACTGGCATCAGCAACCTTAATGACAAGAGCTGCCGCCATCGTGCCAGCACGTCTGAAACCATCAGATGCTTCTTTTTCAATCACTGTGTTTGTATCTGACTCTACAACACTTCTCTCATAACACATTTTGGAATGTAGCTTATGGGGCACGCCAAAAGAGGGAGAGTGGTAGTCTCTCAGCCATGAAGCAACTGAAGCATAATCTCCAAACTGGGAATCGGAAGCAATCCATATGATATCTTTGGCTAACCATGTAACTCGTGTAAGGAGAGAGAACACCGAGTATCCAATGCCCAGAGATAAAGCCTCACCTGCAGTTACCTTCAGTGAATTATAAGGTGTCACCAGAACAATAGATTCCTTCCCATCACCATGTGGAGCTCTGATTATTCCAATTGTGTTGATACCATATGCTGAACAAGTGTAGTTTTCTTGAACTATCTCGGGATCAGGACTAGAAAAGAAATGCAATGGATGAAACTTGTTTTCTTGAGGCTGGAATTTGTGAAAATTTACTTCACCACCTATGTATTTAATGTGTTGCTCTATGATTCTCGGAATTCCTCTGAGATGATAGAGAGGGGAATGTTAGTTTTTATATGCAGAAAGGTAAAGGTATAGATTAGGGAATTCAGTTCTGATGCCATAGATAAATTGAAAACGCTAAGAAAGAAAAAACTACTGGTTGAGATGAAACAATGATAGTGATACCAGCCCATGGATGGACTCCCGGTACAAAATCATCCTAGGAGTCTACATAATATTAATAACAGTTTCCTATTTTTAGCATTAGTAAAGTTTCCTAATGGTATACTAGTTGATATTCCTCTTTGCGACTGTAATGGATTAGAACTCTATTCCCACTAAGACTATAGGGATTCAACGTCATTAATAATATCATACTCCCTCCGTCTCAACTTGTTTTGCAAAATTTCCTTCTTTGGTTGTCCCAAAATGAATTTCCACTTTCCATTTTAAGAATAGAAATATGACTAAAGTGACAAGTTTGCCCTCCTTAGCCTTCTAATCTTCCATCCTACCCATCCATCACTTCTACCCACCTTCTCTTATCACTATCACCAATCACTTCCACCCACCTTCTCTCCCCATATTCCCATATGAAGCACAACCATCTCTGCAAATGGAGTCTCACACCTTCTCCATGACCAGATTCCCTTCTCATATGAAGCGGGAAGAGCATGGGGCGGGACCGGGCTTGGGCCCACTTCCGTGGGCAGGTTACGGGCTGTCTTTATAGTTTATTTATTATTTTTAAGTTAATGTTATGTTTTAGTTTGGGCCTAATTATTAGTAGAGTAGTTAATAGAGTTATTTTGGGCTTAATTAGGATTTAATTAATTTGGGCTTGATTAGGGTTGCTTGTAGAAGGCTATTTATACCCCTCGCCAGGGTTCATTCTCATCATCTTGGAATAAAACTTGGTTTAGCCTTTTGGCTCTGGGCAACGGTATTTTTTTATCGTTGATTATCTGGGCAACGGTTCACCCCGTTGATTGTTATTTTCTGTTCTTATCAATTGGTTTGACCTGCCGGATCCCGTCCCGCCAAGATGACCAGAACTCAGAATGAACGCTTGACAGAGATGGAGAACGAGCAGAACCGAATGGGAGAGGAACAAGCCCGACTAGGGGCTGAGCAAGCCCGGATGGCGATCGAGCAGAACAGGATGAACCGCACGCTGGAGGACCACAGTAAAAGCTGGCGAAGATCGCTGCCTCGCTCGCCGCGCTGACTCAGGCGTTGGTGCCGCCTGTTTCGCCGGACGCCGCCATGGCTGGGGTGGGAGTCACTGTGACAGTTCCGCATGCGGACAGGGTGCTGTGTGACCCAGTTCCTAAGTTACTGCTAGCGTTTGATGGAGGAGACCCGATCGGGTGGATAGCTAGGGCAGAACAGCAATTTAGTTAAACGACACCCTACCGGAGAAAAAGGTGGTTGCCGTTGTGGTAGCTATGTAAGGGGGAGCTCTCTATTGGGTAACCTAGCTGAAATCACGCAAACCCGGTATGACCTGGGAAGATTTCAAGCAAGCCCTGGTGGCCAGATTTGATTCCCGATTCCAGGGGAATAGGTTTGAACAACTGTTCGGAGTCAAACAAACTGGGTCTATGGAGGAATATACTATCTTGTTTGTTCAGCTAGCGAGCCAAGTTCCGGGATTAACTAACGATCATTACTTGGGCTATTACATGAGTGGGCTTAAGGAAATAATCCGAAGCTCGTGGTGATTACTTCGGCCAAACAACCTGGAGATGGTTATGGAATTAGCTCGCGATGTGGAGCATAATCTGTCCGTCCAAAGTGGAGAAAGTGGCAGCTTGAATTATCATTCTTCAGTGGTACGTTCTAGCAGCCTTTTAATGGCAAACACAGGTCCCTCGTTGACTGCCATTGGTGGCAGCTTACAGGGTTCAGGGGGCAGCTTTGCGAAAGATAGTGGACAGCCTCCGGGGACGAAGTCAGGGCTGTCCGGGCAGCCTACGACACGCTCTCAGTTCACTCGACTTCCGCCGAAAGAGTTTGCAGAATTGCGGGTGAAAGGATTATCCTTTAGGTGCAAGAGTCCCTTTAAGCAGCTGCGGGTAATGATAGCTGAGGAGGATGAAGAGTTGGACCTCAAGCAGCATGAATTCTGTGAAATAACCAGCCAGGAAAAGGTTCAGGAAAGAGAAGAAGGATATTTTCCAGTCTATTCTATGTCTGTAAATTTGAGTTCCCAATCCGCGAGTTTTCAACCTTGAGGACAAGGTTAATTTGGAGGATGGATTGATATGAAGCGGGAAGAGCATGGGGCGGGACCGGGCTTGGGCCCCCGGTTACGGACTGTCTTTATAGTTTATTTATTATTTTTAAGTTAATGTTATGTTTTAGTTTGGGCCTAATTATTAGTAGAGTAGTTAATAGAGTTATTTTGGGCCTAATTAGGATTTAATTAACTTGGGCTTGATTAGGGTTGCTTGTAGAAGGCTATTTATACCCCTCGCCAGGGTTCATTCTCATCATCTTGGAATAAAACTTGGTTTAGCCTTTTGGCTCTGGGCAACGGTATTTTTTTATCGTTGATTATGTGGGCAACGGTTCACCCCGTTTATTGTTATTTTCTGTTCTTATCACCTTCCTTTTCCCTTTAAAGATAAAGACAGAGAAAAGAAGGAGGCTCTGGCTTAGGGGCAAAATCAACGCCAAACATCCCTTGTTTGGTCCTATTAGCTCCGGCTCCCTTGTTAGGGGCAGAATCCTTAGATCAGACACATTTAGTTGACCCAGTTCATCAAAGATGAGTCACCGCCGCCCTCAAAGAACCTCACAGATGAGTCACCGCTGCCCTCGTTGAACCAAATACTTGTGTCGCGGGTCGAACCATTGAAGCGGCCGAAGGCAGTCAGTCAGTTGGAGGCTTGACGTATCTGTCCAAAATGTTGGAGATGCTCTCAGACAGAGACCGGACGCCAACGATCGGCTCTGGCCATTAGTGTTCCCCTGTTTCACTTTTATTTTCCTATAAGCCATGTAGAAGGACACACAGTAATGCACATCATATTGTCTGACAAGTTGTAATTGCTTTAAAAATTCAGTTTTCCAATTTCTGGGTTTGTTCTCTACGTCGTGTGAAGAAGGCAAATTGGGAAAGTAAATGCCAATTTCTGTTCTTTATTAATCCTTATGCTGGTCAAAGTTTGCAATTCAATTCAAGACGGAGGGAGTACTATTTCAAGTTCTATATAGACTTTGACAAAATCAAGTCTCTATGGTTTCTACCCAGGACAAAACTCTCCCCGCATAGGCTCTGTCAAGGATGAGTCTATCATATCCGACCACATTCATGACAGAATGTAATAACATCAACTGTTTGCATGTAATTGCTTCACAAGTCACAAGTGATGTGAGGAGATAATGTGTTTCCATCCATGTACTGTAAAGTAAGAATAACAAATGCAGTGTAGATTTCATTCACACCGGGCAGGAAGGCACAGTAGAATAACATAATGCAGTTAACTCATTTGTCAATGGACTCAAAGCATCATGATATGAATACTTAACATTGACAGATGAGATCAAATGAACATAAGCACGTACATGCCTGTGCTAGCTGATCCGGAATTAAAGCTAAGTATATTGTTCACGAATCTACTGGCACGTGAAACATCTTCATGTGAAAGCATTGGACTAGCAGAACCTACATCATAACAGTCAAGAAAATATAAACAGCCTTTTTAGCCTGTTAGAGTTGGGTTGCAGTTGATAGAATAGGTTTAGACACTTAGTGTGATACCCATAGAGAAGCATTTCAGCCCCTCATAAGAGGGCAGTCAACTTCAGGTGATAATTAACCATGTGTGATTATTTTCAAAAAAAAAACAAATGTGATTATGCCCAACAACTAGAAATAAAAAGAAATGTTTTTCATTCCCAAAGGACCAAAGGTATTTTTAATTTTTCTGCTCATCCCTCTTATGACATAATGTGGAGGGTGAGGCCAAGAAAAGGTGTCCAAAGAGCAAACCTTTTAAGTAATAGCCTTAAATCTTAATAGTTACCAAGATGGCTGTCAGGCAAATCTAAGGAGCTGTTTGGCAAAGTAAGATGCAATGACTTGTGATGGAATTAAATGTGTTTGAAATGTAAGTTGACTGCTAGAAAGTACTCAATTAGATGTCCTTGAGCATTGAGAATTGGCCTACCAAATGACGCCTTAATATTTATGGAGTCATGGAGTGGCAGTTTTGAGCATTCAGAAATTAAATGCATCCCATAGACACCACTTACATATCCCTTATCAGATCAATTGAAACACTGTGACCAAATCATTGGTTGCTTTTGAGCAAATTCACAACTTTGAAAGTGAGAAAAGTGATGATGAATCATGGACCCAAACTAACCAGGCATTAGTGCATTCTCGGAGAAGTAAGTGTTCTTGGCTAGAACTGGCAAGAACAATAGAGCCACCACACCTGATGTACAGCACAAAACACTGAAATCATTCGAAGATGTGCATCAGTCTCTGCCTCAAAGACTCGACGCATTTTTTATTACCAACCAAAACAGTATTTCCCGTCACGCATACACATTAATAAATGCTTGTAAAAGTGCAAATATACGAAGAGAAACAAAGACAACCTAACAAGTAGGCTGTGAGATATAAGAAGAAGGCCGATGCGAATGATAGGCCGAGGCTTCGGATTGGTTGGCTCGCTTTCCGCCATAATATCGATCGGGGAGCAATCGCCGATAGGATCGGCTTCGAGCTGTATGCAGCTTGCACCTTCTCTGTTCCGGTGTTCACTTAAAATGAAGAGCTAATTCCCCACGGTAAAAAGGGAAGTGTAAGAAGAGGAGTCGGTTAAAAATAGAAAAATAGGTAAGAATAATGTCAACTAATAATCTGCTTGAAATAGTTCAGGATCCCTTATTTCAAAATAATCACAATTACGAGTACTAAATAAAAGCTCAAAATGTTCTACTCACTCATAAATGGTATAACTCATTTATGGCTTATAATAAGTCATTGAAATATTGAGATTATTATTTTGAGAAAAATCGATACTTTCAATTATTTCAAGCAACTAATTAATAATTAGGATTATTCATGTCCTTTTTTCCTTTAAAATTTTCCCAAAAAAAAATGTATTCTTTGAAGCTTGGACAAAAGGACTTGGCCAGAGCTATTGCTAGTCGCCACCGCCGCCCGATATGCCGTCACTGTCTAATCTCCTACCATCGTCGGAATCTGCTGGAAATTTTCAAATTGCATCTAGTACGAGTATGGCACTGCCTCCGCCGGTCACCGTCACTACCAATGGACTGGCCCAAATATGCAATGGAACTAGGGGTGATTAATTATACTACGTAGTACGTACTAATTTATTAGATTATGGGTATTAAGAGTAAAAAAATCATATACTCTTATTTAGGGAAGATTTAACTTGGACTTCTATCTAAGGAAAAATAATATACACTTGACACGTGTGGACCTTCATAAGATCGATAGGCGAGGAAAGCTTGATGTGGATTAGTCACTAAGCATGTGCATTACATTTCTATGCGGGATAGGCGAGCAGAAGTTGTTGTTATTGGGACGCTATTGATACAGCGGGCAGTTGCTATGGATTACATGATATGATATTATACTATCACACGGATGTTCGTCTCCCCTTCATTTAGGCTATCTATTCACCATTATCAGCATACTTCGGTTGCTCTACATTTGACACTAAGTGCTTTAATAATTTAATCTAAGATTTTTATATTTTATGATTAAAATGTAATGCATGTTCACATTTAAAACACGAGCTTTGTCGTGTATCCATGATCAAGCGACTGTTGCGGTTAGTGAGCTACAAGATGTCGACACATACGATGAGGTTATGTCAGGCATTGCTTCGTTATGTGTTGATGTCTAGGGACAAGTTGATTGTGCTCATCTCTCCAAAGAATATGAGTGTATATCACCCCTTATTTAGAGTGATGGAGCGTATAATGACCAAATATCTTCAAATAATGATGGGCTTCTTGGTGAACAAGGGGGTGTTGATAAGAAGAGTGATAATGAGAGGGGTGTTGAGTTTAACACAGCTACTTGGCTGGTTTTCTTTTTTAGCACTCGGATTTTTCATATCGTGAAGGTTGGGAACCAGGCTTCTTAAGGGGTATCTTCTCAGGCCACACTTCAGAGAACGAAAAAGCACTCTCATGTCGACAGTGGAGGATTTATGGGATTTTGACACTAGCCATAATATTTGCAATAAGGCATTGCTGGTCACGATGGATAACTGTTTGCCTACGAATAATGTGAACATGCAGATAAAAACTTACAGAAAGAGGTATCTGTCACGCCCCGGACCTCCCCGAACACGTCAACAACCCGCCGTACAATACGAATAGTCAACCGCAGTCCAACACATTCATATCATACAAGGCGTCCCGAATATCATTCACACGTAAGCCATCCATAAACAAACATAATAAGTAATCGAATACATAGCGGAAAACATAGTTTGAAAACAAATGCCACACGTGGCTAACATGAGCACGCAGGCTCTATAGTAAAATATCCATGAGCATGTTTATTAATGTTTAAAAACCGAATGGAGGAAGCACGAACCAAGTCTTCCCTCCTAGATGATCACTCGAGCAACGAGCACAGGAAGCAAGCTCTAGCCTCAACCTGAAAAATGGTAGTGGGACGCCCCCGAAGGGGTCAGCACTCTATAGGGCTATAAAGTGCTGGTGTGGATGGCATCTAATAGATATACAACAAGTATTTCAAACACAAGACCCTCAAATAGGGTGATAATATAATCTAGGCCGTAACCCCAAGTTACCCCTTTTCAAAAATATACTTACTTTATATATAAAGTCAAGTAGTCGGCCCGTAGGCCCAAGGTTTGTTTATCAAACATATCCCAAAACCCCGTGACCCCTAGTCACAACAATATATAGGGTCCAACCCTAACACATATATTTGCATTCTCGAGTCCAACTCGACTACATCACCATGCACCTTATTTAACACAAGTTAACTACTCCACCGTGCATTTCTTGAGTCCAACTCAACTACATCACCATGCACAACAATCACCCCATCATGTCTACCCAATGCAATTCTATGAGCACGGGCTCAAGTACATCTCCTTACATTGGCATAGACCCCAATTCCTAAGCACTCACTATGCCTAGAATTGTAATATCAATAATCTATTTTGGGACATCCCTACGGACTGCCCAACCATGGTCATAGCATCACATTACATCAATTTAGTCACTTGCATCACAATCAAGTTCATCAATTACAATCAAATCCATAGATTCAATTCCTTAACAATTACAACAATCATTAACTAGTATTTCAATACTATTAAGATTATTCTTATCCATCATATATTCCATTTGTAAAACCCTACATATTTAGAGATATGTAGCAGCAACTTAATCATTCAATGTAATACATAAATAATCATTTATGTATCTACACAATTCATACATGAGTAAAATGCCTATTTCACACAATAGTTCATTTAACTCCATTTTTATCAATACTTTACCAAATCATTTCCCATTTCATTCTTTGGAAAATAGATCAATATTCCATCAATAATTTATCATCATAATCCATGGAAAACATTATTTAGGCATTTAGGTAATCTCATGCTTAACCTACAAGTTGTAAGCAACTAGATGTCGATCCTCACCTCAAATGAGCTTTAAAACCTTCCTTCTCGATCCAATGACCAAAGCCTCGGCCAAGGAAGATTGAGAACTGATCCCTTGCTTGAAAATGGGTGTTAAACAGCTTCCTCAAGTTGCTATTTCAACCCCTAATCGTTGATACGAAAACAGCCCCTAGAACGGGTGTTTTCCGGCTAACTCGATTCCTAGTTTTCCAATATTTGCATCTAGGTTAGTATCTAACCCTTACATCAATAAAATAACTTAATAGGGATGTTTTATACACTTGGAGTAGTGTATAATAGTCCCACCAATCGTTCATATCATTTGGAAAATGAATGGAAAGGTTTTGGGATTAACAACTCACTTAGAAGAGTAAATCCGTTCCTGCGAGGTCGCGTTCTGCTCGGACGATTTGGAAGCCTTCCTCTACTCCGATTGATTCAAACCAGACCTTCACGGATTCCTCGTCTTGAGAGCTTTCTTTTGGTATCTCACACGCCTTAATTGGATTGGTAAAACTCGAGATATCAACCAAACAGTCTCAGCACTCTCACAGCTCGAGTTCACAGACCACTGCTCGCTTCAGATCGATTTTTGGATGACTACTCTCTCCTCTCGAACAGAGACCACTCAATTATGAAAATAGACTTCAAAGGCTATCCAAGGACACCTTATACACCTCATTTGGACGAGTATAACTCTCAAAATGAAGGGAGACAAAACAGCACACCTGTTTGTGCGAAAACAGTGGTGGTGGCCCCAAAATTTGATTCCAATTGTGTCATGGGCAGTGCTTCTCCATGTGGTGCGGCCAAGGTGAGTCTTCTCACATATTTTCCTTGTCTTGCAGGTACTAGTATCATGTGGAGTGGTTCCCCATTGATCCCAATTATTTTGGGATCCAAAATATCTATCAATACACCCAAAAATGGAAGAATGGGTCCTATTGTTTTATCTTTTGTCAAAGATGTCTTTTTGTACTCATCCTAATTTATTTAGAACAAGTCAACTTCCTACATAACATTATTGATCTCCAATATGTGTAGGCTCATCTCAATAATTTACTTGATGGATAATATAGAAGGAAAATCCTACTCCCATTATTTGGCTCCATAATGCCAAAGATGGGGTTATAGGCATTTGTGCTCTTCTTTAATCATCCTATCACTTATTTTGACATTTGTCATTCATATTATTGGGGTACAAGCCGTGTGGGTCGCCCCCGAGTGGGCCTACGACGCCGTCCTCAAATATTTGCTATTTTAGCAGGTTGGGCCCAAATAATATATGGGCTGCCCGCCCTTCCTCAACTTGTCTTGAAACGTTATGTATAACTATTTAGATAACGTTAGGATCTTTTATTTATTAATAAGGCCCCAACGAGTATTCGCAAGCCCAACACTAACGTACGAGTTCGAGCGGTAAGATAATCGATCATAAATTACGTAAAACATCAATCGTTTTACAATTGTTTGGGAATCAGAAATCCAATACATAAACTTTGAATTTTAAATCGAATTTTCAAGGACGTTCGGGAGCGGTGTCACAGTATCAACATTCACACCGTATGGGGATGCGATCTCAAACTCGTGCAGAGCGTTGATGTTTTTCATTGAAGGCTTAGGGAGCTAGGGATTTTTTATATGGGCATTTGTGTATCTAGGCTTGGGCTTTCATACTACTGTTTCATTCTTTTTCTGATTTTGACTTGTACTTTTTCTTGTTCATTTTTATTAAATAAAATATTTCCTTTCCTTAAAAAATACCATGCCCATCTCTTACATATGAGCTCCTCTCAATACTGTACAACATCCACATCTACAGCAGCAACATCTCAAGCTTCTTAGCAGTGAATCATGATAGTCATTCTTAACCCACTTTAGCAGCGTAGTCGTCCGCGCCCACGACATCCACATGACTATGATTATGATGAGGATGAAGACTTGTATACTGTCTCCATTACATTTATGTTATGAACGGCAGTTTCTTTATTTATATACTTTTGTCAATTATGTATGTCCACATGCAAATGAATTGTGTATTGTATTATTAATGAGATTGGTGCATATCTTTGGATTGGATCATTTACAACTCCCCATTTATGAATATGTTGATATTTTGGTGATAT